CATAGCTGTACGAGTACTTATAAAATACCTGAGTAAATAAACTAATTCATTGTAAGTGCAGTGTTCCATCGTTGTTTTTTTTTCTGATTTTAACACCGTTAGCATTTTATCGTTTTCTGTTTCATAATAATAATACATTTTAAAATGGCACGAAATAGCGGAAACATAGCAACCTGAAATACTTTAGGTCCGATACTCTTCAAAGTTTAAACGTGGGACAACAACCGACCTTTAGTAGAAAATTAATCTCCAGATTGATTCAGTCAAACGCGTCTTTCTACCTCTAACATTGTTCTCGATCCACACCTGGATATAGGTTTTCTGCTTCTTTTCGGTCACTATTTGACATTTATACTCTGAAGTGTGTCGGACAAAAAGTGCTTCTGTGTGCTCTGTTTCCGCTATTTGTGCCATTTTAAAAAAACGATACACTACAAGCACCGCAGAGCAAGGGGCTGGGGTGTATCAAAATATTTATTATGAAAAATTCTAAATATTGAGTAATAAACTACCAGAAAAGCCTCTTTTCATACGGTTTTAGCCCCCCTACCCACTTTTTGTAGACCCCCACTTTTCTCAATGCTCCGCAGTGCCTGCACCGACTAAAAAATTTAATTGGTTCATTTTGTCCATAGTATGTTTTAACAAGTGGAAAGGACTCTTGCTCTAGACTCTGGGAATTGACTACAGGTATGCAAAACTTGAATTGACCTGCTTTGTAAACTCTATGCTGCAAAAATCAGCAGTGCAATCGCAATTTGCTTCTTAACTTTACTCAGGCTGAAGAACAATGAAAAGCAGCCTGTTATGTACATCGAATAAGATTAGACATCATTTACCTTATATTAAATGGAACTTTGTGCATGAAGATTTAAAAATATTCTTACGGTATTTTGAGCATAGCTCTTCATAGTAGTATCAATACTACTTTGCCTAGTAATGAAATATCAAACCATTAAATTCCAACAAGTCGTTAAAGCTGGTTGGTAGTTCTTTATGTCGTTAAAGGGTTGAAGTTGGTAGTGCTTTGAAGTAATCACGTTAGTTGCTTATATCTTCAATTAACGCTGTCGAAACGTCTTCATTTACTGATATTTCTTAAAATTTATTGAACACTTTTGCTAAACGAATTAAATTTGAAATGCTAAATGAATTACATTGAAAATCTGAATAATTTAAGTTTTTCATGTCATATTTTTGGAGCTTGGTTTTCATTGATTATGTTTTCGATTTCCATCAAGGTCGTGCTATTAACATTTATGTTGGATCTAATTTGCATCAAGGCTGTTATTCACCATCGATATTCAACCATACAGAAGATTATGGTATGGAGTTTTTATAAATTCACTTACTTGAACGACATATTTCCATGCATAGCTATTTTGTTAGTATTTTGCATTTTACCCAAAGGAAAAGCAACCATCATCAATCACCAATCATAATCAGCAATCACCAATCACAATCAGCAATCACCAATCATTATCAGCAATCACCAATCATAATCAGCAATCACCAATCATAATCAGCAATCACCAATCATAACCAGCAATCACCAATCATAACCAGCAATCACAATCATCAATCAGTCATCATCCCCATCGATGTCCACAGAAATTAGTGATCGTCATCATTAAAACCATCAGCATAATATTCACCAGACATCATAGTTATAACCATTGTCATATCTAAGTCGAATCTTTACATCTGTTAATCTGCTTTTAGTGGTCTTTCCTGATGACAAAAGCATGTCAATTGGGTGTTGGGATAGCAGAACGACCGAGAAATTACAGAGTCTTCACTCAGGTGAGAACTAAAGCAGAAAATGTGTTCAGACAAACTATAGGCTGAAAGTTTCGGCCATCAGAATTAATGAGACATGCATTTATGAGTATCATACGATATGCAGTGTGAATTTGATGCAAATCTCATGCAGTGTGAATTTGATGAGTTTTTAGTTCTTAATGTTCTAAAAAATATGCTTGATGGAATATAATAAATAATGTACAAAGGTAGTCTTCAAGCGACTTTTTCTTGTTTGATTTTATTATTCGTAGACCAAGTACTAAATTTGTGTGTGCTTTTTATGTTGCAAACATGAAAAATAGCAAGGCTACCAAATTGAAATAAAACAGATAGTAAAAGATCTCTTTAACTACAAAGATATCAAGCGATATTTTGCCTGGTATCTCCTGTTACTTGCTGCAAATTTGCATGAAATGAGTCATTACCAACTAGTAACAGGAAGCTTTTTTCTCTTCTGCCGCCCCTTCTTCTTTGCCCAACCACGCGAGTCATTAATATTTCTATATTAATATCGAAATTACCTGAATATTTCTCCTTAATATCGTTTCATTTTAGGGGTTGATCCCTACATCCTCTGTCTTCTTCTGTGCTATTTAATCTGTGTTATAAGCACAGGTTTGATATGACCTTCTCTCCCCCCCCCCCCCATTCGGTCTTGCTTCATTCGACGTTTACGCGACAGACCAGTTTTTATCAGGTTGTGGTCAGTGGCGTAACGTAATTTAGGGCACCATGGTTCGATAACTAAGGACCCCTGATAAAAATGGACCCCAAATTATTTTTCTATTTAGTTTGGTAAGACTTTGCTAAACATCACCTCATTTTTAACTGAATATTTTTCTAGTTAACAAGAAACATTATCAATGTTACATCTTGCTATTGTTTTTGACATGTTCTACAGCGTTGGATGGGACTTCCTTGCAGTCTGTTAATAGAGGCCCTATCTCAGTTTTCCCTTAGGGCCCCAGATGCCTCCGTTACGCCACTGCTTGTGGTACTTTGCAGTCTCTATAGATAAAAGAGCCAAATGCAAGCTCATATAAACAAAGAGGATAACACTATATGTCAAGCTAAATTGATTTGAATCACAAATTGTGTATAGATGTATAGAATCACAAATTGTGTATAGATGTATAGAATCACAAATTGACTAGCATGCTTCTTGGATATGTCGCATGTTTAGTTTAAAAAATTGATGGTTTTTATCTTATTTTTAAAAGCATCAAAACACATTTAATCTCATTGGGAACGTTGTTTCGAATATCGCTACATCCATATGACCGACTGTCCAGCCTTTATAATTTATATTCGGAGCCCGTGTTTTAAATTTGATTTTCTTAAGCTAATCATCCATCAGTAAAGTTTACTGCAATAAATGACTATTTCGAATTGGAAGAATCTAGCTTTATACTATTTTATTTTCGTTCAGGCCATAACAATTTCATCCGGTACTTGGTGCATTCTCCTGTCGAGTCAGCAATGATGTCTTGCAGTGAAGATTACCGGGCGAGGTTTTGGTATTGCAAAGGCTCTGGCTGAAATCTGACCAACAAGAAACGTTTCCACCAGCAAAGCATCTGAAGCCACTGTTAATATTTTAAACTTAGTCTCATTCTTTAAACCCCCTATTTTCTAGTATGGATAATATCGTTCAAAGAATATACATCTCAAACTTTCTTTTGTCCTTTCTTTGACCGCAGAATAATGAACGGAGTACAATTGAACTTGAAAATCCCATCTGATTGGTTTTTTTGGATTTTCAACTTTCAACTGTTTTGTTTTCCGTCAACTTGGGACAGTTTGTTGCTATACGAAAAAGTGGTAGGGAAAAGGAAGAGTGACAGTAGGGGAGATTAGTTGGGATACTTAGCGGCCTAAGACTGGTATCATCACAGACCTGGTCATCCAGATGATATCGCTACACAATATATATCTTAGATATTTACGCAAGTCTGTAAGGAACACAAATGAAAAGAAACAAGTAAACAAGCAGCAAGTCAAACGGAGGGTTTGCCCGCTATCCACACATTTCACTTATACACAAAAGACAACGAGCACAGGCAACATGTGAAGTTATTTGGGTTTGTCAATGAATTGTCTAATGGCTCTATTTTCAAAGCTGGCCTAAAACCCTGAAAATGACCCGTGCTTTGATCTAGAGGCCACCTCGTGTTGTATCGAAGAATGAGTTACTGGCACGACATGATGGGGATGATCCGCTTTACTGGGTTGAATCAAATCACAGTAACTGGTTTAACATAAAACTTTGCAAAATAAAGATTGTATCTTACCGACCACAAGAATTGAGGCTTAAGTCCCATTCCAAAGTACTTTCAGTGAGCAGTAACGCAGATCTCGTTGGCAAAATCATACTGTAGCGTTTTTAGATCAGCCTAACCCTAACAGAGCAGCCCAAGAGCCTAACCCTAATGGCACTTAAAAACAGAACAGCCCCAAGGGAATCTTATTCTTTGCAAATTGTTTGATGCAGAAACCAAGTCTCTTGATACCAGAATGCTAACTGTATTGTTCAGCTTTACAATGAATATAAAGAAATTGACTCCCACTGTGGACACTTTAATACAGTCATTGCTGAAATGTCATGGGGGTAAAATGTTAAGAAGACCAGCTTTTTTGGCTAGATGACTTAGAGGCATCAAGTTTTTCAAGACTTCAATTTGTGCTGAGCGATTAAATTATATGAAAAAGTACCTGCCGCTTGGGTTAAATGGGAGCCAAAGTTGTTCTTGAAGGTGTGAAAAAAACTTCTTTTCATCGAAATGAAAGGTCAAAATTGGTATAAACGAGGAGCAAAATGATTTTTTTAACTCGACACAATTTTTTAAATGGAACAGCAGTTCTGAAAAGACGACTAATGAAATCGCGAAAAGGAGAAAAACCAAAATGATGCTTCGCGTTGAATTTTTTACGATATTTATTGATAAAAACAACATTTATCTGACCAAGCTGCTCGAAAACACTTTTTTCAAAAATTTTGAGCCTTGCTTCTTTGCAGCAGCATGGCAAACTACAAACCTAAATTGGGCGTATTCTCCAGCAACCATGTAGTAACAGCCAATGAAGTGATCGTGGAATGGCAATTTAAACAAGGATATTAGGCTCTTAAGTATATAGTCCCTTCATGCCGAACTTCATTCGGAACCCAATGTAGACTTAATCCAAGATATGGGAAAATGTCCAATAACATTTCGATCCTTTTATACAATAGATTGCTGAGATAACAGATGCTTTCAATAATAAAAAACAACATTAAGGCGGCTACACCAGAAAATAAAGGTTTGGCCAAGTTCAGAACAATGACATAGCTATTGCTTTGTACAACAGAATTACTGAGAGAATTTTAATTACAAATCATTTGATTTTAATCGGATCGACCCCCCACATAATTCCAATAGTCTACACGTGTTTTTCCCTCAGGCAACGAATCTTAGTACTTAATACATAATATTTTAGGCCATCCTTGAAAACTCAGTTGATCAATAACATATATTCATTATATCCACGAAGATACATTAATCTAAAAACTCTACAATAAAGCGTTTCGGAAACTTGATGTGAATATACAATTATACCCCGTTCAGGAAAATCAATTTTTCCGATACGAAAAATTTCATCTTCGGTTATGAAATACTGATCGTCACCATAATATTAACAGAAAGTATTCCCTGTTTCACCCTAGCCTCTAAACGAGAACGCCTCGTTCTGACTAAGAATTCTGTTCTATCTACAATAGTTTATGCAGTTATTTACCTACAATGATCGGACCATTTGACAAATGTTCTTTGCTTACTTTTCGTTCGGCGACATTACATCCTGTACTCGACTTACGATGAACAGTTTGCTCTACAGGTCCGTTGCCGACATTTTTCTTTGCAGCAGGACTTATCTTTCGCTCCATGCTGCTTTTCTTTCGAGTTCCGTTATTCTTGTCTGTTGTTTCCACGCTGAGCTTTCGAGGTGGTGTTCCTGTGCTTAGTTTTCTCTCTTCTCTCTTCTTGCGTTCTTCGTCTGTTGTTTTTGCTAAATTCTGGTAGTAGTCTAGCGCCAGCTTCACAGGGTCAATCAAGGTTTCCTACAACCATAAGATGGTTCCTGTCTTAAAAATTGAAGTAAAACAAACTGATACAAATTCAAACTGTTATTCTTTCACAATTCTGTTTTGAACATAGTATGGAAGAGCTGAAATATAGAAGTACTTTTCGTCCGACAAACCTCAGAATATGAGCTTAGCGGTCGCTGATTGGTCAAAAAAGAACCAATGAAAAATGCTATTCTTTCTCTTACGATACTCGCAATCAAAAACGCAATCCGCATCTGGATATAAACTTTTGCTTCCCTTCGGGCTTTATTCGACGTTTATACTCTGAGCAGTGTCGAACGAAAAGTACTGCTGTACGCTTGTCAGTTTCTCGGGTGTATCTTCGAATTTTGCGGCACCAAAGACTTCTTTGGTTAGTTCTACTTTGTCATATCTTGGCTTTATATGACTGGTCTTTAGTAATTAGCCTTTTACTGGGTAAATGATAAGCAAAAATTCATATAGCAGACAGCTATAGGCTCTAACTAGGATAGAATCAGACCTTCCTAGAACTGATTATTCATAATCGTCCATTGGATTTGTCCGTTGCTTCGAGGTGTCCCTTATAGGAAAGTGTCTGTTGATGGATGCTACAAGGTATGCTATGAAATTCATAAAAAAATTAGCTTTGAAACGAGTAAAAAACAAGAAATATCTGATTTCAGGCTTTTGAAAGTGTTTGAGTTAAACGTTGAATTATAACTGGACATACCTTGAAAACAGGAATTAACTCTGTTATGGATTCGAAAAGTGGAATAAGAACGAATTTTATGAAACCAATTTGTGCTGATGGCTTGGTAACTTTGTCTCTGTCCATGAACGGCAGTACTGGCAATCCTTCTAGTTTTTCCACATCACTCTGCATAAGAAACAGCAACAGTTACAATTTAGATAATAATTGACTAAACACCGTTTAAGGCAATGACTCAGCATAAAAGCAAATTGACTTAGGCATGCATTTTTATACCAGGCAAACTTATAGGAAAAGAAAACGCTTCCGTTGTTGGTTTGCTAGTTTTCTAACAGAAGCTTCAAGGCTGGAAAATACTCATTGGGGAGCCCGGTCTCATTAAAAAACTGCCTACAACTCTGCCTGATGTGATCCTAAACTTGTGGTGGGGTTTCTTAAATTGAGGCAAAGATATTGTAGTAAATTTTCTATGCAGTCCTTCGTGTCAAATATGTTAAGTTCTTAAACAGACACGAGGAAACACATGGTTTTCAACGTGAAAGTTTAGTAAGAAAGTTTAGTAATTCTCAGCTGGCCCCTTCTACAACCCCTCCGACCCCTTTTACGGGAGTTGATCAGTATTCTGATGAAGGCTAAAGGCTGATTTCCATTTGACATTTTTTGTGCGCTCGGGCGTAGCGCCCAAATCTGGGGATGCGTAGCTAAGGGCTGCTGTCAAGTGGCCGAGCGCACAAAAAAGTTGAGACCCTATCAACTTTCTGGCGCTCACAGCGGACGCAAAATCAAGACCACTTGATTTAACTACGCATGCTCAGATTTGGGCGCTACGCCCGCGCGCACAAAAAATGTCAAATGGAAATTGGCCTTAACAGAGTTTTGTATAAGCGGCTTTGATTAATCTCTTTGTGCTTTGTTCCTTCAGGTTTTTTCAAAAAATATTAGAACAGCGACACATCAACTTGCCATGCTCGATTTTATTCTCTGGAAAACGATGCCTAACATCAGTTTTCAAAAACAAATTCATCCACCCCCTGGAAAATAACTTTAAACAAAATGACGTCGATTATTCAAGTATGTTCAATGTGCGATTGATGAATGATATTTGCCCAATCTATGGACATTTTCATTGAAGGAAGGGAAAAGGAAGACGGACATGAAGAATCCGGATAGGTATCATGTTTTGCTAGATGTCATATTCTTAGGGGAGCGTTTCCTGACCCTAGGCGACCTGCGATCCGTTAATGCAGTCAAAAACATCCTCGATGTGTATGACACAAGATAATTGGATTATCCTGACCGAGTTCTTCAGCTTTGCCAAATGAAAAATATACAAGCATGACTCAAGCTGATTGGTGTTAACGGTAAATTTAGCAAGTATTGTAGAAACAAACAAAAAATGAACACCTGATTAAAGGATTCTTCTAGGAGACACTCCAACCAAGGCTCTGCCACGTCCATCGGCCTAGCTTCATTGGAAACATCAGCTGCTTTGATGAAAATCTTCATAAGCTAAATGAGAAAGAAAGACATCAAAGTGGCCATTCAGAAAAAACTTTCCAAATTTCCAGCAGATAATTAAAGCTAAGGCCCGTTTACATGAGGTGGGCAAGCCATTGTTGCCATTTGAGTCGGTGTTTGCGTAAACATAGAGGTTGGTCCACAAAGAGGAGTTCCACGGAAAGGGTAGGAGGGATCTGTGTCGGAAGAAGTGAAAATATTCATTTAGAAGTGATTCAGAGGGCTGACTAACTCAAACAGGCTGAGACAAATATCAACATTTGGAGATAATAAGATACCAGCCTTCTGGATTAGGCCGAAACACATGTCAATTATCTTGCTAACTGGTCCTAAATTTGATCATATTGTTTTCTTGAAGATATGTTATCTATTGTAAAAAAATAGAAAATTCACTCCAAGCCAACGCACCTTGACAAAGATAATTGATGCAACAAAAATTCAATTCATTTAAAGCAGAGAGAAAACAAAAGTCTTAAAAAACGAACAGATTCTCATCCCAAAATGAAAACAAAGTCATTTCCTTTTCTATATCTAGTATCAAAGTAATAAACAAAGTTTCATTTAATGGATATTGAATACACAAGCCCTCTGTCCAAATCAAAATAAAATAATCTAACCATAAGTCGATGATCTGCATTTTTGAAGTCGAATCCATTCGATAAAATGCCTTTAAATTCGCTCAGAATATTGGAATGCTGTGCCATGTCAGTAGCTAAAATAGACCTAAATGGCGAAGAGGTGCGTTCTGTAAGTCATTGGTGAAAGAACAAAATAGTTCGAGAATATCTTTAAAACTTCAATTATCAAAATTTTGGCCGAAACCAGTTAAGAACAAAAAATCAAGAATCTTTAATCACAGACTTAAGATCCTATAACACCCTTAACGTTGCTTGATATTTGAAATTCTAACCCCGAATGCCTTTATGGGCTCAACTGTGAAAACGACGACGAGAGTTTACCCCCTGGACCTGAAACATTACTGTCACAACAAGTGACTGCCTTCCAACAAAATAACTCTGGCTTATCACGTAAATAGTGAGGCACAGCTTAAAATAGAGGGACTGATAAGCTTTTTAATGGAAAATTACTTTATGCTTGTGACCAATGTGGTGAATATAAATCTTTTAGTGCTTCAAATGTCTACAAAATGCCAACACGTTATAATTCATATCTCTGTGAAAGTACATCTGAAGCAATGGGGTTAAGAAAAGCTTCTCGTATAACTCATGTTGGAACCCAGTTAGTAAATTGAAGATAAATTTGTTTCCTTTCTTCTAGCAAATAAAACACTAACTTGTTAAATTTTTGAAACAATTTTAGAAACAATATCACATTGCTTTAAACTCCTAAACCACCCAGTCCAACCATATTTTTCCTATCTTTGAATATCTTCTCTCTATTTCGTTAATCCCCCTACATCCCATCCTCGGTTCAGGGAAGGACTGAGTCTCTTCTTCATAACTAAAGCAAAAATGAAAAATTCAAGCCTAACTGTTTTTGTTAATGATAATTACAAACGAAGAAGCAAGCAGTCCTTAGAGGGAAACCCTAAAATAGGTGGCACTTACTGTATGATTCCAACACGGACTTTTCTGTACAAATCCCCATCAAGATGAACAAATATGTTACAGTTTGGCTAAAAGACAGATTATTATCCTTATATATAAACACATGCAGATGAAGAATCATTTTATGTATCATCAAAAGGCATCATAACATCACTAGGATTAAATAATGCAAAATGCAACCAACATATTCCATTCTTAAATAAAACTACTAACAGGAGTGTTGATTTCTCTTAACACTAACTAGTACTCCACGTTGCTAAAATTCTGATAACTTTGAGAGGCTTTTAGAAAGTAACAGAGAAGCACAAATGGAAAGTGCTTCAGGAAGATAAGAAACTGAATATTTAAGGAAGAAAAGTTATCCCAATTTTGCTATTTCGATACAGCTTAAATGACGCACGGTTTTTTTCAGCAGAAATTGGAAGCTAGTTGGCAAAACGTACAGTTGACGGTATTGAAAAATTCATTGAAGGAATGGTTACGAGAAGACATAAATGTACGGAACTGAACCCTTTTATTCAAAGTGCGGTATGTTTCGACAAGTATTTGAAAATATATAGTATATGTAAAATAATAATTTAGAGATTCCATGGTTATCATATACAGGAAAAGTTAAGAAGTACAAGATGACCCATCAGAGCTTTAGATGCCTGAATCTTAAATTTGTGAGAGGCCTGAATCTAAAATGAAACGAAAACTTATCTCACATGAACAGAAGACCGGCTTGCAGATATATCACAATAATAACGTGGACTTGATAAGAAAGAAGTGAAAAAGAATTCTACGTGGAACGACCCGTGTAGTTATATTGATAAGGCGGCAGGCAGTTGTAAACATAACGAACTAAGTATCTCGTTATCAATACTGTTTAAGATGATATGATGTCTGCCATGCTCCTCTGTTTTAGTAGTTCAGCGCGTGATATAGATACAAGTATTAATTATAGAACGGCTCTAATCGACCGGTACTGATGGAAGCTTGGTTTAATATCAAGTGTTTGAATTGTAGTTGTTGGAGTTATCTATTAATCTGGTAAAGCACTCAAAAAGCCACAACTGACGGGAGCTCAGCTTCAAAAATTTGCCTGCAAAGTTAATTTTCTATGCGTGGTAGGTGCATCCGCTGATGGGCGATGATAGGACATGTTAGTGAATAATTTCTAGTTGAAATATGCAGAGGAAGGAGGCGATGGGATGAGCAGTGGGTCTATGAGCGTAAACACTACAAGAAAACACTGCAGCTGATAGGTCGTCCTTTTAATCAATCTTTAGGCTCAAATCTTGATTGGACAAAAGCAAAGTCACATGATCTCACTCACTGCATCAGAGTTCATGTGACATATCAAGGAATGAAACTCTAATTTTGCGTCGTGATCCTCATACCACATCCATGTCGCAAGTACAAATATACATAGCAAAAATAACATTACGAGAAAAAGTTACCAATAAAACTTACTCGGTTCAGAATGTCGAATGCCACAGATGCGTGATGGTTCTCTAGTGGTGATATGTCGTTGTACCGTATAGCCAATTCTGTTTTTGCGTTTATCTGAAAATAGAAAATATGAACATAATCTGAACCTGTCCCTAGCAAAATGGATTAGAGGCATTTAATATTTACGCAGGCAATTTGAAATATATTTTTATGTTAATTTGGTATTGCGAAAGTCCTCAGGGTGCCGTAAAATTCTCCAATCCCATTCGTTTTGCAGCTGGAAACCACTCAAATCATATGCTCAAAGTAAATGATGTATTCAAGTAATATTTCACATTATGATGCGTAGGTTCTGTAATAAAATGTTATTTGCAATGCATTTCTTTCAGTCAGGTTAGGCCTAACTTGCTACGGAAAACTCTTCAAAAGATAGGTGTTTCGAAGGGTTAACAATCGAGCTGGGTAGTCAAAGGACGAAGATTAATACAAACACTTTTCAATAAAAACTTTAAAATTTGCACGGAGATGCAGTATCACATTGTAATTTAAAGTATTTTTGGGAGCTAACCGACAATTTCCATTCTGTAGGGAGTAGTACGAAATAATACCTCCAGTTTGTACCTTTTAATCTATCCACTAAGAAGTGGGTGTGTTACACATCCAATAGAAACCATGAACTAAATAAAATTTCGTACTGCAAAATAGAAAATTGTACAAAATTTGGTATATTGTCCGCACTGCTAGAAAGTAAATAAAGTTGGACAATGATCAAAACGTGAATGGAAATTTGCATCCAGACACGATGAAAAGAACAGATGAAAGGCACATTGATTGGTTTATTGTTTAGACCAATCGGTTCTCAACATAGCGATTACTGTATTTAATATTTTCAATGAAGATAAATAAGCTGACCTGATAGTTATTGTTGTAGCCTGGGTGGTCAAGATCATGACACAGTGCGGCAGTCATCATGGTGAGGATCTCGTGCTTTTCCATCACTTTGTGGACCTCGCTTTGGCAGATCATACCGTACATCTAGAAGGAAACGAACTGTTATCAATACTAGTCAAATGAAAACTGATTACAAAAAGGAAAAGAGAAAAAGAAGAAGATGAAGAAGATAAGGAAGAAGAAGAGGCACAGAGAAAGAAGGCAAAGAAAAAGAGAACCAGAGAAAGAAGTTGACGAAAAAGAGAAAAAGAGAAAGAAGACGGCGAAGAGAAAAAGAGAGAGAAGGTGATGAAGAAGAGGAAGATGACGAAGAAGAGGAAGAAGAGGAAGAAGAGGAAGAAGAGGAAGAAGAGGAAGAAGACGAGGAACAGAGAAAGATATCGACAAAGAAGAGAAAAAGAGAAAGATGACGACGAAGAGAAAAAGAGAAAGAAGATGACGAAGAAGAGGAAGAAGAGGAAGAAGAAATATCCAAGAAGAAGGTTACTTGATAATTGAGGATAAGTTCCAGGCATAATTAAATAGTCATAATTTCCCAAAATATTGTAATCATCAGAATTTCAATTTGTTCACTATCAAGTAAGCACCAATGCTCCAATCATCGGCCCTATTGGCCTTAGCTGCGCGAAAAAATGTTCCTCCATTTTAATGCCCGCTTGTTAGATAATTCAGGGATTCAAGTGGGCTTAAATTAGAGAACAAGGGATAAATTACCTTACTTAAGGCTAGATGAAACGAAAATCGTTGTTATGTCATAAAGTTCTCTCTGCTGTAGAGGCAGAGCTGCACACAGTTTAGGTGTACAGAACAGGACGGTTGCAAATTGCTACTCCGAGTTTCACCCTTAATGCAACTATCAGGTTAAGTGTAGAAATATATGCCAACAAATAAAAATAGATATTTGTCAAATCTTTTGATCTATTTGCTGGTATCTCAACGAACAGATTATTCGCCGTAACATCTTTCTAATAAACCACAATAAACAACTTAAATCAAGCACCCTTAGTCTCCAAACAATTTATCAACGCCGCACAACTTTTAACGCTCCGCTCTATTTAACATCCGTTCTTAAGAGCGCGATAATTTTATTAATGTTGCAGGTTTAAAGTATATGAAGATTTGCTGTAAATGGCCCGAGCTAGATAAGCTATGATTTTTATTGGTCATGCATAGCACATTTCCAACATTGTAGAATTCGTCTAAATACATGTGTTAGGCAAATATATACCAATTTGGTCTAATGCGAGGTCAATATATATTACATACTTTTGGTGATTTTTATTGTACGAATAAGGTCCCCCTGTAATGGATTCTGGATTCTTAAAAGGATCAACCATACTTATCGGCCAGAAATAAACTGCAAACATATCAACTTTGCTTGGTTACTGAAATTAGTTCCCACTTCGACCCATGTGTAAAAATTGATGTCTTTCTAAAAAATTAAATAGCCATGACCTCGAACGAATCTCATCAGCGAGGGAATTAAAACTAAACCAGCTTAGAGAAATTGTAAATCCTTCCTAATGCAGGATTTCAAATTATAAAGCAGATTATGATACAACGTAAGTAAACTTTTTGAGGTTTTATAAATTTGACTTGTTGAAATTGCTAAATGAGTGGCAAGTATCTGTGAGTTTTGTTTTTATCTGTGCGATTAATTTCTTGTGAACACTATCAGAGGCAACAGACTACGGTTCCTATTGCCTTTCTATCACCAAAGGCTCTGGAAATTCTCCAATTACGACTAGAACGACAGGAAGGGAAAGGGGGCTACTTTTGTTGGAATCAATACTGAACTCTACTTATTAATATTTGCTCAAAAATACTGAACTCTACTATCCTCCGACATTTTGAGCCTTATAGCCCCCTAAATGTCATAAAACTGTAATATTCAACATTTCTGAAAGCTACCAGCAACAATAGAGACTTCCAGAAAAAACTTGGGCTGCTTAATTACCATGTATTTTCCAATAAATTGGTTTACGCGAAATTATATCTAGATTCTTGGAAGCTAATATTTATAACTTATTAGCTACACGATTTTCCAAAATACAACGACTATAAGCCAAAAAACCATCTGATTCTTTTGAAACTTTGTATTTTTTTCCACATTGCTTTATTCTTTATAGTTTTCCTAAACAGTCTACAAAGGACTCAGCAATCAGAAAACTTTTAATCGAAAGTAAAGAAAAGGACGATGGTCTAATTACTGCATAGAGATTGAACGAGCAAATTAGAGCCATTATGCTCTATATATCAAAGGCTAATTGCTAAGATAAATAAAGGTGAAGGGAAATTCGAGAAGCATCTAAAAATAAATGATTTGACTAGTTTGTGACTAGTTGCAATTAAGGCAAAATGCATACAGTTTAGAAATTTAAAGAAACTGACTTATACCTCAACACATAGCAAAGTATTTTTGCGTGGATCATTTGCAATGACTAATCAGAGTGTTCTAGAACTGGTCCAAATGTTGCTAAAAGCAATTTATGACTAATGAGAATGCCAAAAGTGACACTTTCGTCACCCAGTTAGTAACACGATTAAGCAAATGATAATTTTTCCTTACCATTTGCGTCACACAAAAGCCATGACGAAAATTGTGGAATGGTATTTGATTGTAATGGCGATAAACTTCAAACAAGAACTGTTGCAGAACAGTAGCCTAGAATGATAAAATTCATAAATCAGTTTACCTACGGATAAGACAAATGCTAGCATTGTCTACAAAAAAGATTAAGCAATGGCAAGGATGGAATTAAATAGATAATCTTTGTGACGACAAAGATTTTTAATGTAATTATAAAATGGCAGCAAATTGAATGACACGGTTAGCCCAGCAAGAATTCAAGATCAAGCCTGGAATGATAACAGTAATTGGCTATTACTCTGGATGTGTTCCGTCATTAAGTAGGCTTAGAAAGAAAGCCTGGTGGAAGTAGCAGACCTGGAACCATTATCTAGGACTACATCTAAGCCGATAATGTAACAAAGAATCTCGTTCCAAAACCACCTCTTCACGGTCAAATCTTTTTTAGAAGACTAACACAGTCAGTGTACGGAAATCTCTTCACAACAGACGCCAACCCACGGGTTTTCTGGAGATGGAGATTTGACATTACTGGAGAAGTAGGGTCACCTTCTAAATGAACTCTAATACTTGATGTGAAAAAGTCAACAAAACTCACCTCAATGTGAAATGCTTGCATCATGTCCCAAATCTACAAACATCTGCTGCAATAAAAAAAGCATTTCAGCATCTTCCCACTGCCAGTTGTCAAACGTTGGCTCCCGTAGTTCTTTAAGTGTCTCTGTCGATGGCTCTACGAACCTGGAACAGAGCAAAGTATGGCTGTTGAAAGACTGTAAGATTTCTATTTACAAATAAAGCATTTAATTTAAGAGCAGAAAAAGACAAACTGATAAAATTCAACGGTTAGCTTAAGCTAAAAAGAGGTGGGCATGATTGAACTTGTTTCTTTCTGGCAGAAATATGTCACCCATACAAATCCAAGACCTGCAAATCATTTTGATATATTATGCTTTCTCTTTTCAACTAAGAAGAGATGTGACAAAGTTCATCGTCCTCATCTTCCTAGAAAAAACCATCTTACAAAACCTTTCAACATCTCCCTTTTACCAGTTCATCTCTACTATTTCACCCTTTTTATCAAAAAGTAAATTTCTTACAAAAGTTATGGTTTTCATGTTGTTTTTTTATAGTTATAAATTTCACTAACCCCATTCGCAAAAATTTCTCTAGCACTCCGGTGTAGTGCTCACGTGATTTTCGAAGGCTCTTCTTTTCCACAGGTATTGGCGATGTTCCACTGAAATTGAGCAAATAAATTAGGATGAAAGAGCATAAGTTGAATAAAGAGGTATAAAAATGGAAAGAGGCATAATATAATAAATTTCACGCAGAAATTCGATTAATGACGTTTGCAATCACATAAAATTGATCTTTTTTCTATTTATTTAAGCTTAAAACAATTAAAAATAAACATAAAGTGCTAGACGATGCTATAGGGAGCTAGAAGTGCCAAACAACTCTCTGGCAATTAACAGTTAACTACTACAATGCTTTTGAAGTCTGATGCAGGATGATGCAAGTTAGGGTTAAGATGTTGTGGTCTGCAGGTAGAGCTTTTAGAGCTCAAAACTGAATCCTAAATTGATGTGTGATGCGGTAAGAATTGCAGGAAAATGTGTCCAGAGGAAAATGAGGATAAAACGTGGAAGCTATATTATTAATGAGTAAAGCTGAGTGAAGATGGATAAAGAAGAGAAAAGTGCGTGATTACGGTGAAAGACCATTTGGAAACATTGCAATAAGTTAGGTACCAGATGACAAAACATGAAATTGAATTTATGTGTATCGGAATAGAAGCAGACGATAAAAACAGATGTAAGACGTGCGACTATTGCTCGACGTAGCAAGGAGGAAAATTCACGAACTTTTGAATTTTAAGCTAAAATTTTTCTGCAAACAGAAACTGAACATGTTGACTTAAATAAGCAAGGATGCTGGGTAAAAGTTTATTTTTGCCAACCCAAGAATAGAAAGCGGCTACGTTACACTGTTTCAACGAGAGCATTTTTATTCACGATGCAAAGAAAATCGACACGCCTCTCCAATCAAAAACCTTTAGGGGTGTTCCTACCTCTTTATTTAATTCTCTCGTTACCATGCTGCCATAGGCTGGATATCTTAAAACCCCCGTTTTTGGAGCAGTGCTGTGGACAATTCAGACGAAACTGTGCAGGATGAAAAAGCGGTGTTTTCCCAGGATCAGTTACAAAAAACATAATGCTTCGAAACACTCTACTGATGTGAACAATGGTACTGTGCTAATCTTTGTGCGTCGAAAGTCGTCCATGTGTTTCTTGTTTTGACTCCTGCAAAGGCATTTGCAAACACTACCTCCAAAAACCTCCAACTTTTAACCTCCAACAGCAGCTGAGCATTATATCACCAACGTCTGTTTCAAATCTGTCTTTGAAGGGCTCGCTTTAATCCTTACCACATCAATAGACCAAGCTAAGTCCACACTAAAACTGCGGCCAGTACTCAACAGAGTATGACGTCATTTCAAGATCAAACAGAAGATTTAACTAAATCCACTACAATTGTTTTCTGACCATCTTTGTCTTGGCGGAAGACGCTAGTTAATTTCGGTCTAGCCTACTGACGTAAGGAAGACCTAAGGCGATTCTTATTTAGGTATGGAAAAACAGGATCTGGTCATCTTTCACATGTTGAATTGTTGATTGTTTTCAATTTGTCTAACATTTCACTTGCGTTTTGCATAGGAATATGACAGATAGGAAAAAGGAAATTAAACTGAGAGAATTTGAAAAATGGGTGGAACCTCCTTTGAAAGCCAGACATCATGCCTTTCCTTCGCATCAGATATGTGCTGATAGCCAAAAAAGATGCTTCATTATTGTTAATTTTACAAACATGATATTTAAGTAGCTTACTATAATTGGGAGCAAGATACCCTACCAGCTTGGGTGGCTGGCATCTTCGAAGATGTTCTGAGGGTGGTGAAACTGTATAGTAATTAAAGCCGATGTTTTTAGCTAATAGATGCAGAGGGCGGGTCCAAGACCTCAAAGATCTGAGGTGATATCAATGCAGAGCTCATTTCCTTCGGGGCGCTCCGCAGACCGGTTTTATCCTCCTAGAGGGCCACACAAGCTCTGCTGAAGTGCATTCTGGGAGGTGCGGTCTATTGAGAAAAATTTGTGAACCATGAAAATAATGACTTTGTCTGAATTTGTCTGTTACAACGATAGGGCTCCAATCTTAAACATTCCAACAGGGCTTCAACATTTAACTTTGCTTCAACAATAGTGCTTTAATCTGCAAACGTAAATCATTTCAACTTAGATCAAAGAACTTTGGCTCAGGTCCTGGTTGTTACTTCTTTGACTGTGAGCTGTTCTTGAATACTTCTTAAACTCGTTCAATGTCTCATTATGGAAAGCCTCAAGATTGGGTTGGCATAGTAAAAAAATTTGGCGAAATGATAGTCTTATCAGTCCATACAATAACTGAAATCCACATTAATTGCATAATAAGCTGAAATACAGGCTTTTTTATGAGGAACCACTTTATAAGAAACCTACATGTAGAAGGCCGAAATATTTAAAGAACTTATACTACTAAAAACGAAATCCCAAACTTTTCAATTTGTAAAAATTTCACAACTGCAAGCATCAAGAACTAAAAAGCCGGTTCCATTCATTTGCAGCCAATACTCGCATATATTGTTTGCTATTCGTGTGTCAAGTGCTTCATCAAGTAGTTTCCGCATATGCTGTCTCGCCCCTCTCTCTATTAAGTGTTAAGGCTTATTGTAGTCAAAACAAATTGAGTAACTATTAAGGAACTTTTGATACTACAATTTGATGATTTGAGGTCTACGAACAAGGAAATTTTGGAACTAGGCCTTGAGGTAAGTTCCTTATAAAAAAAGCGTGTAGTTAAGTGCTTTCGTTATAATCTCACCTTGTTATTTCTTTAAAAAGACCCAGCCAGCTAAGGTGTTCTACGCCCTGCAAAAAAGGTAGAATATCTATATTTATGGTTTTGCTCAGAAAGAGCACAACTTAAAGCGTTAAGATTCACAAAAGAGGGCATCTGTTTGAGAACTAACAAATACTAGTTTTTCAGTACTATTTTTGAGAGACAGCAATGACATAACATGGCCTTCCCAACTTCGTTATTGAGTTCTATGTACAAAAGATTGGACAGAGTACACCTAATCTTGACATAAGGAGGCATTGTGCCATATCTTTAAACAAAGACGTGAATGCTAACAAGGAATGTTTTGATATTCTAAACATCACCATTTCTGCTGGCAGTTTAGTAAAAGGGTTCAAAATCTGAGAAAGATACCATCATTTTTTAAACACTATTGATATACATAAAAAATTTAGACCGCAAACGTTTGAATGCAGCCAGACTTCCAAAAGAGTGCATACGGAATGTCCTTGGAAAGAATATACAATAACATGGGACATCAGCTGTAAAGCTTTGTTGCAACAACCAAATGACTGAGGCAGAGATAAAATTAGAGAGGCAAAGCAAGGCAAGCTATTTTTCAAAGGCATTTATAAAGATTACTCAAAAAAGTTTTAATTAACGACCACAGTAAGGAAAGTAAATCAAGGTATTTACTGGCTACGAGAGCCAACCTCTCACGTTATTGCAAAACCCAAAACTCAATCGACAAGGTTGTACTCATTTGCATAATCAAACGCCCAAGGAAACAATTTTTTAAAACCAAGACGTCTGCAAAATACCTAGCAGAAAAATCGGAACAAGAAAGAAACAAAAGATGTAGGTTTTGGGTTAAACCCTTGAAGAAAGTTTTTAACACTTGATATCAACGTTTCTGTTTACTGGTTCACTGGACTTTTGCATTCCATACTTCCAAACCTATGCGGAATATAGTTATCGGTTTACGATACCGAGTTACATTAGGTAACTGGAATGACATTTTGCGGCCTATAAACAGCTTCAATTTTCTTCCACCGTAACAGTATATCTGATTAACAGCGTAATGCTACAACCACAAGCATGGATCTTGCAATTAAACAAGGAGACTACCAACCTCTAATTTATCCTTGAACGCCGTGACTTTTTCCTTTAACTGCATGAATTCCGATGGCATCTCACCATGATTCACATAAACTTTCTTTTCAAGTTGTTGCAACCTGAGGAAATTAACAGATATAACAGACAACGATGACGTAGGTCAGTGGGAACAGGCTAGCAAATACCCAAGACATTCATTGAATATCATTCAACTACTGAATGGAAACAATGCAGTGACCGAGGCAAAAGTTTTAAGACACAATTCAGGGCGAATAGTTGGGTAGAGACCATGCCATATTTTTATTATGGCGATTTTCTATTGCAACGGGGCGTAAATTCTACTAAAAATAGCTACAAAAAACATCAAATACAAAAGCAGCAATAAGAAATTTCCACAAAGAACAAAGACCTCTTATAAAAAATCATAAGACAGATTTCATGATTCGAAGGATCCGGTCGAAGGAACTGGCCTAACCGTCTGTTTTACATAAGGAACTAAGCTTTCGTAGTACCAAAAGTTGACTTTATTAAACTGTTAGCGAGCTACTATTTTCGAAACACAAAAATGTAATATAAGATAGCAAACAACAGAACATATTAATCAATCGCCAAAGTACAATGTCCGTCCCATCTTTAATAGAACTATTGTCGACGGTTCTTAATTTTTCTGTTACCGTGGAGTTCGGCTTATTATAAAAAACACTTTTGTTATTTCGCAAGTTTACTGATAATACCCCCTGTTCCTACAGAGAAGTCAGAACCATTTCAAAGTTGGAAGGAGACAGATAGCTCGAGACACTTATTAGAAAAGGGTAGAAAAGGGGAACTTCTTAGAAAAGGGCATTTTTCGAAAATTTGGGGGCATGTGCTCCTGGTGTGCCGCCGGTTCTGACGTCCCTGTGTTTTCGAGGAAGCCAATGCTGAATTGATGGGATGGTCTTAGGTGCTAAAACTAGGCAAATGTCACGAAGAATGGCCTAAAAAGGTCGCGTGACAGAAACTCGAACTTCTTACTGCGTAAACACTATATGTTTGCAGCGTCTTTCAAATTACATCGAGAATGACTGTGATTTCAATAACACAGTAGAAACATTGAGAATACATTAAAAATAAAGAGAAACGACAGATTATCCGTTGCAGATTCGAGGAAAACAGCAGAAAACGCTGTGTGAGAAATGTTAAAGTTTGCGCTAGTAGACATCTGGCTGGCCTTCTTCAAGTTACAAGAGCGCGTAATTTTCATCTGTATTGAATGAGCTGAAAAATTGCAGCACACATCTGTGTGTTTTAGTTCGTTGCAAAGAACAACTTTCATTGCATTCATTGCATACAAAGTGGTTTATTGCATTCTTCCTATATTAAGTAGCAAGCGCTCAGGACTGAAAAAAAGCATGCACCTTTTCTCGATTTCTTCAACATCTACACCATGAAGATCTTTACCTGAAAAGATAATTAATCAAATTTTAATAACCCTTATTCATAAAATATTTCCATTCCCAGAAACATAAACATTCTGGCTTTACAGAGCATGTGCATAATTCATGACTGTGAGCCACATTACGTGAACAAAACTAACTACACATTTTTAATACAAACACTTGGTTTCTGTCTCAATCTCAGTTTTTGGGGCTGGCACTCTTGGAGACAGCAAAGACCACTCAGTGAGGTCCAAGAGCAACACTTTGGTAGCTCTCATAAATTTGAGATATAATATATACATTTATAGTTTTCACAAATTTTGAAAGCAGTAATGCCCCCAATTAAAAGGGGGCAACCTAAGTCAAAGAGGTGTTTGCATCAAAAGACATACACCTCAGCTTTCCCACATAAATAAATAGACTTCAAATGACATGGTGCCAAAGGCTGTGTCAGATCGAGCAGAGGAGTTCAGTTCACCCAAATATTTCAAGGAGCAATATTTAACTGTTTTCAAAACTGGAAAAGATATTTTATATTTATGCCAATTAGGTAATCATATAAATTATTTCAGCAGTTCATAAAACCATTTAAATGGCGCTTCCTTCAAATGATTTCCCATTCTAACTTAAAAAATTTGCAACTGGAGTATCAAAGAACGCAAATGAAGGGCTTTTTCACAGAACAAGCAAGTCTGACGTGAGGCATGACACACAACATTTTGTGATGGCTGTAAGGTAGGAAAACATTAGGAAAATACAGTTTCAAAAGCGATAGGGATTGAGAAGCCAGCAAAAGAAAACAGGCATAAATTTAGAACATAGACAAATGATCTGCACTAAAACACACAAGTAAGCAGCAAAGGACCAATAGTTAAGCTTTATGGCAAACATTTTCAATTGACTGCAAAATTCTGATTAAGAAATTGCATGAAATTTTCCCTAAAACAAATTTCATGTGGTGGAAACGTTAAGAAACAACTCTTTGGTCTTATAAAATTCGAGCAAGCACTTTGAAAAAGCAAGCACTTTGAAATATACAAAAGCTTTCTGTCTGACATTTTATATTCTAAAGAGTGATAGTATAAAGCTTTTCCAAAGCCATTCAAGTCAATATATATATCTAAAAAAATTGTAGACAGATTACATTTTAGGTGGCGAGTCCGAGTTTGGATTTAAAGATTTAAAGATGGAGTATGAAAACAATTTCTACAAAAAGGGCATTTCAAGAATTGGTATACTACTTAACTGAGCAGTTTCATTTCTTGAATAAAAAAAGGTATGCAAATGTTCTTAAACTTACCACAATGACCACAGTGTGCAGCAACAACTTCTAACTTGTATCGTGTTTCTGGTGTATTAGCTTCTAAACTTGTAGATATATTTACAAGATTGCCTTTGTGGTTGTAGAGCTTTAAAATGTCATAAGGGCCTGCTTCTGCTGCACTTCGAAAGCATTCTTAGAAAAACAGGAAATTTGCATTAATGAATGCTATCAAGAATCAATAATGTTAAAATTATCATTAATCAATGCACTGTTTTGTTTATTTACTCATTATTTGCTAGTGAATAAAGTTATTTGGCTAAATAATTTAAATCAAATATATATTACAAATTAAAAGATATTAAAAGCTGAAGAAGACCACAAAACTGGGAAATTTTAGTGGGAAAATAATTCTTTAGCATCTAATAGTTTCAAACAAGGAGCTGCTTTCAGGCAAACTTTAATAAAAGCAAAGTAGAAACTTTCACACTTTCATATCTCACTACATCATGGATTAGTAATATTTGGACCAAGTTTAAAATATTTTTAGAGTACCGTAGGTGGGGTTAATGTTGGTCAAAAGGGGCAGGATGTTCTGACATAAGTGCTTTGAAGTGTCCCTAATAGTTGCAAATTATTTGCATTGAACTTTTCTATTTGAGGTGCAATCTCCTAAGGATTCAATTGACAGTTCCTCTGAATCTCTGACTGGAACCTCACAGTTTGCTTTAAAACTAAAATGGTACAATCCTTATGTACACTTAATTATATTTAAAAAAGAAACATTTGCTGTGTTCAATATCTTTATATTTTATATTTATATTTTATTTTATATTTATATTTTGAAAAGAAACATTTGCTGTGTTTAATATATTATTATCTTTGAAATGAAGCCTAAAAATATTTGCAAGAAGGTTAAAGGATGTTTTAGAATTCATAAATTCTTAATTATATGCTACATGATGTTCCTGTGCACAATATTGCTCCTAATTAGCTAATGTTTAACTGGATTTCATTATGAGCTAACCAGAACCTTGACTACTGAAACATCAAAATTGCACATGTATACAGAGCATTAATGGAGGAAAATTGAAAATAAGAGCATGTGTAATTTTTCAAAAAGGACTTCAGGCTGCAGTGATAATCCACTTCCTGGTAATATTTGGATGTAGCAGCATAATGGATGCTCAAATGCGAAAGGGGGGCCTCATCCATGAAATGCAGGTAGAGCCAAACAGTTTTTTACTCATTTACAAACTAGAATTTTACCATTAAATGTTGGCAATTTCTCGATAGTTAAGGCTTGTTAATTGGCAACTTAAAGCTTCTTTCTCTTCCAGAATAACTGTAGCGCTAGAAAATTGTCAATTGCAATCGAAAGGAAAAGAAGCAGTGTTTTTAACAAAAAGAGGTGAGAGATGTGCTGACAAAGGTGAATAATTGAGTATTGTCGAGGTAATGCAGATGTCAAAGCCGAACGGCTGCAAGGCGGTTTCAGATGTATATAAATTAAATATTGAAAATAAACAGCCTCCGCACTCTGTTTAAGTTGTGAAAGATCGCTCACAGCTGCTCTTAAAACATGAGTTTCAGAGCCTTAAACGGAGAATCAGAATAATACGTTGGTTAACTCTGTAGATGATATTATCTGAGTATGCCAAAATGCTGTATAGTCAATGTTGAGAAAAGTTGAAACAGCAGGATGCTGGCAGGAAAAAGCTAGCGATGAAATGGAATCAAAGCAAAATGAAGTCAAACATAAATCAAGGGACATCATGAAGGGAATTTATAAACAGCCACCTCGTGATTTTAATTAGACAGCAGGAAGCCCTGAAGAAATAATAAATACATATAATATCATTCGAGTGAATTTTGCCTAGTTTGTTTTGTGATCTCCAAGAAAAATTGGAACCGCTTAGAGGTTAGGCTCACTTGAAGAATGAAAAACCACACTGACCTTTAAGATCGTCAACAGGGGTATCGCTTCTGAACTCTGCACATTCATGTTGATCTCCCACTACAAAGTGGATGATCTTTGAAGCCATGCTTTCTTGATTACACTCTGAAGTTAGTTCGTAGCTATAAAGCCATCAGTCTTCCAACAACCCCTGAAACAAGAACATTCCAAACACGTCTCTTTCATTCACACAAACAAGTGTACATTGTTATCACTCAGAGAAAGACTGGGCCGATCAGTCCTCCGCAGTTTCCAAGAAATACAGCCCTGGCGGCTCAGAAGTTGGTTTAAATGTCAAAGAGCCCTAACTTCTATGTCATTTTGATATACCGTTACTCCTCGAACTAGCCCCCTGGGGGCTTATTATCTTTTTAAATATTCGAGGGGGGCTTATTTGATGGGGGCTAATTCAAGGAGGCTTATACAATAGGGGGCTTATAGAATTATTGTAGACATTAAGAAGACATTATTGAAAGACCTCGTTTATTTGAGTAGGAATTTCTTTATGAGCATTTAATTAATTACTACCAAAAGTATGAATTTGTTGTGGTAATTCAATAAAACGCCATAGGCAACCTCAGATAGCAAAAATCATCAAATGAAGGGATCCAATTCGAGAATTTACGGTAGCAGTGGGGGCTTATTCAAGGGGGGGGCTTATTGACAATTTGTAGTTTTAGAGTGGGGGCTTATTCGAGGGGGCTATTCGAGGAGGGGGCTTTTCGAGGGGGGCCAATTCGAGGATTTATGGTACATATAATATATTAATTATCATTTCGCTGCATTTTTGTAACTATTGCTCCTTTTTTGATAGTAACATTACAGTAATATCGGTAGTGAGAAAAACAACACAAAGACGGCGCTACAAAATTGGACCTGAGGGGGGTGGGGGCTAAGAATCAAGTCTACTAGTGACATAGAGGACCCATATGTTAGGTCCGATGTTGAAGAAAATTGTTGAAATTGAGCCTTTTAGGACGGCTAAAAATGCATCTCCCAGGCTAAAAATTATCAAATTACTATACTGCTCAGAATAGACAATTCGACTAGTCTCAGAATAAAATTTTTGGCATAATGTGATAGGGGACGAGTCATGCTAAAACTCTGGCGACAGACGTTGGGGGAAGAAAGAAAAGATGACCGTTGGTTTAAGTGCACATCGATGTGAATAACAAGAAGCTGTTGTATTGATTGAGAGAATATTGCTTCCTGAACAGAAATGTGCATCTTCTTTGCCTCGAGTATTTTCAGTAGGCCATGTTTACACATGAAAATGCTGACATTGGAACGAAACAAAATATCATCTACTGGATCGATGCAAATAACAGATAAATCATAGAAATATACCTAAATAATTTAGTAAATAGATAAAAGAAAATCAAGCAGTACATCAACAGTTTGTTCTCTCTTTATATTACAATCTGTTTTAAAAAATAATGAAAGTGACGATCAAAACATTCCTTCCCCCCCCCCCCCCCCCGCCACAGGTTAAGTTTCGGTCTCGGTGGATTTCATGCGCATAAACATGAATTTCTTTGGGATATAACCACTTGTTTTTCTTACTCTGTCGATGCTATTTTGTCATCGCATAAAGCATATCTGGTTCGATGTTTAAAAGGGATAATTTCAGATTTTACTTCCAGCTTCAGGCTTCATATCAAGGCTAAGTGACAAGCAACTTTCACATTGATCGTTCAAAATGTGCATTAGGATAACCATGATTTTGACATGCAACCAATGTTATAACTTATTCTGATAGGTCTCGGAGATCAGGAATCATTCTGATGTTTTAGGCCCTGAACTCCCCAAACTATGATTTTTTCTAAGCATTGATTAAAAATGGCTTATAAGTTATGATATCCTCAGGCAATGTAGTAGATCAGGTTCATGAATTGGAATGTTAGGGACTGATTGAATTAGATATGTGTAGGTATACTTTCCCAAGGACCTGGATATAAATATTTAGTATTCAATATTCAATATTCAATATTTAGAAATACTTTCAGATAGTAAACAGCTATTAATTCTTTGGGAGATGGAAGTCAATGTTGCTTGACAGTTCTCCCTGTATGCTATAAAATCGAAAATCACCTTTTTGGTTCACGATTAACCCTTTACGACCCTAGGTGCAGAGTAGCGATCTCAACATGCGACTCATAGTAATTTTATCTTTGTTAGACTCTCTTTTAACTTCATGAGCGATCCCAAAGTGGGGTTGAAAACTTTATCTTTTATTTCAAAACTATTTAACCTTTGGGAGCAATTTTCAAAGATTTATCTTTTATATTAGACAAATTTAATACCGGAGACCCCTCCCGCCTCCAGATCGGCTTGCAAACAAGGCAAAAAGGGCCACTGATGAGATTGAAAACAGATTAAACTCAGACTAATACATATATATATTTCCTTCTTCTTGTATTTGGAATTCAGCTTAAACCGACGTATGACCTCTTTATTAATTTGAACTTAGAGGGGTATTTGCTGTTGAGGGTTGCCTTGGACCTCGCTTTTTTTAATGTCATCCTTGATTAAAGGTATAAAAGCTTGCTAGGGAGTAAATGAATGGACAAGATATGTTTGTTCTCAAATTCTGCTTTTTCACGCGTTTTTTCATAATAAAGCTCATATTTGCAGATTCACCTTAATCAAGCCTAGGAATCGAGATCTCCCTTGCATTCTACAAGGAGACACTTTTGATTTATCGGTTGGATGTGTTTGCTATGAAAATAAAATGGTATAGAAACCTGAATATTCGAATTTATATTTGGATTAATATAGCTAAACATTGAATGAATGTCTGACAATTAGAAGCAGAAGGAAATGTCAAGAGCTAAGGCAACCGCAGATGAAATCTTGTTATCGGTTATTGACGTAGTTCGACGAAAAGTACTCAGGTTTACCAAAATATCTTTAATTTACGTGACTTGGGGACGGTCACGAAATGAACACTGGGAAATGTTGTAAGCGTTTAACCTGGTAATATCTAGCGTGGTTCAGTTAATAATTGTTTTATTCTATTCGAGTGTCGTCTTGGTTTTTCAACAATATGACGAGAATAAAAACGATGGATTAATAGTCAAAAGCCGTCATTCAGTTTTTCTAGTTTAAAGTGCCACTGAACTGAAAAATCAAAAAATTTTTTATTGATGTTCTAAGTCAAGTCGGTGCTCCTGAATCCGATGCTGAAGTTCGCTTTTCGGAATTGTGAAGTGTTTTGAAGCTACAACGCTTCAAAGTTGCGATTTTCAAGACTTTTTGTGCGAAAATTTGTGCGCGGTCTGTGAGGAATTTCAGGAATGTGTGACGCATTAACGTTTATAAGTTGCGGAAGTGATGCGGGCTTCAGTACTGAAGACTGTATTTCGAGTGCGATAAAAAACCAAAAAAACGTGAAGTGGATGGAAATAGTGCGATACTTGTGCTCTAAATATCACTAGCTATCTAACTACAAGACATGTGCAAGGTATTTTCTTGTGAAAATTTCGAACCCATATGAAATAAGCAAACTTTTTGCGTGCAGTTTTTACCAAGACTTCATGCCGATCATTTACCTTTTGTGAATTATTGAGCGTGTCAAATAAGAATGCTTTTACGAACAGCTTTACAAATTATGAATAAAAGTGAGCAAACTGATCAAGGGAAAAAGTTGATCTATTATAGAACCACACAAATTGCACATTTTTCGGCGCTTTTCCTACTTTCCAACTTGCGTTGCCACTGTCAAAGCATCAGTTATTGCCAGGGCCGTCAAGATGGGATAAGTTGCCCCAGAACCTCGTGGTCAGGGGACCTCAAAAAGTAAAGAAGTTCATTTTAAATGGAATTGATTAAAAGTCCATAAGTAGCACGGTGGGATATTTTTAAGCTTCTATTCATACCCCATCTTTTTGGCGTATCAAACTGCCTATCTCTATCAAGTTTCATGCTGGTATCACAATCTAATGGTTAAATTGTGACAATTACTGCTAAGAGGTTTGGAATCTAGTATCCCAGTCTATAAATAGCACAAGGGAAATTTTTCGGCGTCTATTCGCATCCTATCCTTTTCAGCGTATCAAACTGCTCATCTCTACAAAGTTCCATGCTGATGTCGCGATCTAAAAGTTAAATTATGACAATTACTGCTTAGAGGTCTAGGACCTGGTACCCCAGTCTATAAATAGCACAAGGGGGATTTTTCAGGGTCAATTCATATCCTATCTTTTTCGGCGTATCAAACTGCCTTTTACTACCAAGTTCCATGCTGGTATCGCGATCTAATGGCTAAATTATGTCAATTACTGCTTAGAGGTTTGGAACCTAGTACCCCACTCTATAAATAGCACAAGGGGGATTTTTCAGGGTCAATTCATATTCTATCTTTTTCAGCGTATCAAACTGCCTATTACTACCACGTTCCATGCTAGTTTTGCGATCTAATGGCTAAATTATGTCAATTACTGCTTAGAGGTTTGGAACCTAGTACCCCACTCTATAAATAGCACAAGGGAATATTTGTCAGCGTCTATTCACACCCCATCTTTTTCAGCGTATCAAACTGCCTATCTCTATCAGGTTTCATGCTTGTATCATGTTTTACACAATTTGTAACTTTTTATCTTCTTACAGCCCTCACTATGGCTGAAATGACTATATAAATCTGAATGCGTCACTCGCCCCAGCCTCTTTTCGCACGACCTACTCGCAAAAGAACCCCAGAAACCCCTATTTGTGGGCTCCAAATTAAAAAACTAAACTTTTTTTCGAAATCAGCGATGATTAGTCTACCAGAATCAACAACAACAAAAATTTCATTTTTTTCAATTCAGTGGCACTTTAAAAACAATTTCTATCAGATTTCCCCTTCAAGTAACAGCCAACAAAGTAGTATAAACCACCCTATTATCTGTCTGGGTTATGAATCAGAACCAGGTAGTCTCGGGAGATTGGAATCTAGTTGATAAAATGCAATGACGGGTCCCTCATCCCGTTTATAACATCGTTGCTGTGGAACGATTTTGCCCTGTCACCCCCGGTACAGTTTTGACTCTGCTACGAGAGATAAATAATTTTGTGACGTCATAGTTCCGTTTTAGAGGGACAATGTCAACGGCAATCTCCAGGTTGCATTCCATGTACTTAGGCCCGAAGATCTTCGGCGTACACCCCGGT